CCGAAGGTTTAACGGTTGATTGTAAGGTTACTTGTGCTAGTGAAGTGTTTGTATTTCTTGGTGTTGTTAAATTTGGACGTATCGGTGAGATACTTTGTTGTGTAGTTGTTGTTGTTTGGACGATTTCTTCATTTATGAAATGTGATGGTGTTTGAATATCTTGTTGTGTAAGATTCCTAGTTCTATTAAGGTTTTCATTGTGTATGACGGTCGAATTTAAACTGTTATTTCGCGTATCAGGTAAAAATGTATTGTAGTTTAATGGTGTTGCATCAATGGTTAATGGTACTACTCGTACATAATCTCTTGTATAAGATATTGTACTTATTGCTTGACTTGAGATTGATTGTGGGATATTTATGAATGCATAATGTGACCATTCGGGGTCCCAAACGTAGTCTGACTGTTATGTGATGGCGGTATCATCGTTTGAATTTTGAGGTCTGAATTTTTTTCTTGCTTGCGAAATTAAATCTTTATTATGTGTAAAATAATCTATTATAAACCATGCCAAAATTTTTTGTAAGTCATGTTTTGTATGTTGTGAAACTTCGTCTTTTGTGAAATTTTCTTTAATTATATGTAGGAAAGTTGAAAATAGTGTGATTTCATGACGTACCCTTATATGTTTGGATGTCTCTGTTGGAGAGACATTTGGGATTTCGTTTTCTAATATTGAAATATAACTATATATTATTGCAAAAACTTCATTAGTAAATATGGAGTTTGCTCTTTGTGAGTTATGATATTGTATGCTTTTGATATATTCTGAGAATACTTTTGAAAATTCTAAATCAAGATCGTCTGTTTGAATTACATATTTGCGGTGATTCGGGTCTGGTGTACTGAATTCTACGGTGTAGATTCCGTATTGTTGTGTTAAATTACATATATCTTTCAGATAATGATCAATAATTTGTCTTTTCATTTTTACATCTGGGAACTCTGCTTTGCATGGGCTGATTCCGTGTTCAAAGAAATTGAGGACTAAATTCTTGCAAAGATCATGTTGTCCTCTATTATCGGGTGCATCTACGAGGAAGGGGTAAATATCGTCGTCATCTGGACTATCTTCACTCGGAGTGTGGGTGTTGCTCATTTTTTTTGTTTAATGACTGTTAATATGTAACTATCGATGTGTCTAATTGATTGATTCCAATTATACAAGTGTACTGGTTTGTGTTTATATATTTTTTTTATTCTTCTTTTTCCTCTTTTTGATGAATTTGAAGTTGTTTCTGAGTCGGAAAAATATAATTGATTGTGAATGGGACAATTTTTATCAATTGATTCTTTTAATTTATAAAGTTCATCTAAATTGCTGGCTTCTGATTCTGAAAATGCGTTTCCATTTTTTGAAAATCTTATTCGTGTGATTTGTCTTTGTTTCGTTATTATTTTTCTTTTTATTGTTTGTCGTTTTGTTCTAATATATCCAACTGTTTGTGTATGAGGTGTGATTACAAGGTCGTATTTTTTGTTATCTATTTCACAGTTGTGTAAAACAATTGTTTTTTTATTTCCTAGATTTTTAAATGACATAAGGTTTAGGATGAGGGATGCAAAAAGTTGTTAGTTGATTTCTACTTTCTTAAACTGTTAGTCCTTACGATTTTTTGGTTAGCTTAACCTGGGTCTATTTGTTCAGTGTTGGAGAGAAAAGTATATCGATTCCGAAGAATGATTTTTTACTTTCTCGTGGCTAGTATAAGCTAAGGTGTTAACTTGCTTAATCTTAATTAGGGGTAGTGATTGTGTTCAAGGGTTGGAGAATAGTTAATCGATCCACAAGGTTCAGGTATAATTAGAACACGAGTAGTTCGTTAGATACTATTTTAAACTTACTAAGTCTAAGATTTATCCTGGGTCTGGTAAGAGGAGGGTTCAAGTGAAGGATGAATAACCGAAGTTCTTCACTGTTTATCCTAATTTGAATGATTAGTTTTGTTCAAAATTTTCTATTGGTCTTGGGTTTTTGGAAGGGTTGGATAGTGAATCGACGTTTGAGGTCGTTAGACACTTGCCAAGCGAGTGGGGGAGAACAAAATTGTTCTTTTTGATCCAAGGATAGGCCTTGATGATCAAGTTTTAATTTTAATGAAATAGAAAATTAATTAAGATCCAAGGATAAGCCTTGATGATCTGATTTTAAATTAAGTGAATTTAAGTTTAAAATGGTTTAAATTAATTTAAGAAAAAGATTTTTTTTTATGATGTTTAGTGAGCTTATGATTGCTGTTATGTTTAGGTGATAAAGCTGGGACAACAGTTGATTTTATAATTACTAACAATTTATTGTCATGCTACTAATTTTTGTTTTTGTTTTCAATAAATATTTTCCAAACATGTTTTATATATTACTGCAGAGTTTAGGAAAACGATCTGAGATCTTTTTATCAATCGTTATTGTATATTAATAATTTTGTTTAGCGCCTGAAATGATCTTGAAGATTGACTTCAAGATTTTATGTTCGCAAATGAAAATCTAAATTCATTGCTAATAAAATTCTAAATATAAAAGTTTGTGTTGGCTTTTGCCGTTCTATCATATAACTATATGGTAAGTTTCTACTTTGTCGTATGTCGTCTCTGGTTCGAGGTCTTCTTCCAATTCCGGGTAGTTCTCTTATCGTTCGGAATATTGGCTCTGATCTATTGAGTCGTAGAGACATTTCGATTAAATTATCGTCGTATAACATTTTGAAAATGTTTGTCTAAATTCTAATCTATTTTTGGTTAATTCTAAGCTATTAAGGTCTTGTTCGAGACTTATGGTCGCACCAGATGAGTTAGGTCCGAAGTGGTTAACTCATAGAGTAATTTCGGATAGGGTACACCGTCTGCTCGTCACGCTATCTTAGATTTTTTTTTATGATGTTTAGTGAGCTTATGATTGCTGTTATGTTTAGGTGATAAAGCTGGGACAACAGTTGATTTTATAATTACTAACAATTTATTGTCATGCTACTAATTTTTGTTTTTGTTTTCAATAAATATTTTCCAAACATGTTTTATATATTACTGCAGAGTTTAGGAAAACGATCTGAGATCTTTTTATCAATCGTTATTGTATATTAATAATTTTGTTTAGCGCCTGAAATGATCATGAAGATTGACTTCAAGAATTAGGTTTGCAAATGAAAATCTAAATTCATTGCTAATAAGATTCTAAATATAAAAGTTTGTGTTGGCTTTTGCCGTACTATCATATAACTATTTGGTAAGTTTCTACTTTGTCGTAGGTCGTCTCTGGTTCGAGGTCTTCTTCCAATTCCGGGTAGTTCTCTTATCGTTCGGAATATTGGCTCTGATCTATTGAGTCGTAGAGACATTTCGATTAAATTATCGTCGTATAACATTTTGAAAATGTTTGTCTAAATTCTAATCTATTTTTGGTTAATTCTAAGCTATTAAGGTCTTGTTCGAGACTTATGGTCGCACCAGATGAGTTAGGTCCGAAGTGGTTAACTCATAGAGTAATTTCGGATAGGGTACACCGTCTGCTCGTCACGCTATCTTATTTTCGGCCGGATAGATTCGTGCAACTTCTTAGTCTAATACCGATCCTAATCTTACTCTTATACTATCTAGTCTCAGGTTGTTTAACTAGTCTCTGCTAGGCTCAATAGATCTAGGGTATACTGGTTTATTGCGGCTGCTGAAGTTCTCTTGGAGAGGCAACTAATTTCTAAGTTAAATTCAAATCTCTCTGGTGCTGAAATTACAAGTAATTTCAGCACTTACAAATAAGTGGGTTGTTAGTTAGATGGATCATGATTGGTTAATATTAAATACTTTACAGTGGTAAAATATCTAATTTATCCAATCATAAAATGTAGTTTAGATCAGGTTCCAAATTCCATAGACTGAAAAATTGTATGAAGGCAGCAGTTTAAGCATTTTTCCACACTATGGAATTGTATGATAGACATTTTTCCATACTGTGAATTGTATGAAAAACATTCGTTCCATAGAGCTTTTTGTGTGATGCCCGTAAGCACAAAATCCAAACTTCTTCTCACATGAGAAGCCACCAGGATAAAAAGTGGTTGGGGAGCAGTGGTGAAGTGGTTACTTCTCCGCCTCTCAATCGAAAGGTCGGATATTCGAGGCACACCATGATACGGGCTCGTTTGTTGATGGTGAGGCAACATTACCCAGCCCAGAAAAATAACCAAAAAAATTGCATGTAGTTCTTAAGCAGGGGCACAACAGCGGTTTGCCGTGATGAGCTGTACAGCTCGTATGTTGGTCCTATCCCTCGTGGATAAATGATATTAATAGTTAATTAATAAAAAGCATTGGAATTGCAGATTACGCGACTTATTGATAAATGCCAAACAAAACAAAAATTACGAAATAAATACTTTTTTTGGTTAAATCTAGGTAAGACCTTATTATATAAAACTGAAAAGTACCACTTTTTCCGTCACAAACAACCTTCAGTGTGAACCTTGTTCCTTTTGTGCAGAAAAAATTTGTGCGTCGTCTACATTATATGCGAAACAGTGGAAAACTTGCATGCAAAAAAAGTAATGGAAATTGTATGATAAGCATTTTTTCCATAGAACATATGCATGGAAATGTATGATAAACATTTTTTCGATTTTTTTAAATGGAATTGGATGACATTTATTTTATTGTATTGAGGTCGACCGGGTACTATTTTTCAAATTTTTGTTTTAAAATGATATTTTTCAAATAAATCAAAACTTGTCAAGTTCTATTTTCAGCAAAAGAGCTAACCGGAAAAGAACGATTCATTTAATTTTGAGTTTAAGTCAGTGTATTTTTTGCTCAGTCTCTCAAAACCTAAGAAGGACATTATTTGGCCAAAAAAATTTTGCAGAAATTTTGTGAGAAGTTTCAAATTTATCTTTTCAACAAATCACGAAAAGAGTTTTTGAAAAGGAACTGGCAACTTAAGCAGGGCTGACTAAAAAAATGGTCGCAAAAACTATTAAGCTGGCCACTTTTGTCAACTCGAATTTCATTCACAGGCTTTTGTTGCCATTCTGATCTCCTGGTTTCTTCTGGTCCAGCCTCATGTCTTGTATGTAAACTTCTGCCTGGAGGATTTTGACCAGAAGATGGAGATGTCCAGCTACATGGCCAGGGTGAGAAATAAAGTTGTGCGGCATTAAAAATGTGGCATCAAGACTGCTCGTATCACGGCGAAGAATGAATAGCGCCACTGTCATTTAACATCGATAAAAAATTCGTGATTGCAAAAAAATAATCAACTGCTAAAAAGTCGAAAGATTTTTGATTTTTGTTTCTAAATCTTCATTTTTCTACACACTGTGAAATATACATAGTGATATAAATTGCCTTTGGTAACATAATAAGAAAATCCTAGTGTGTTTTTCACTGGAAATCAGTGTCCTTCCTTTATGTTTGTGCTCATGATATCAAAGGTTTTCAGATGATTCGAAAAGTCTTCTCAAAAACTGTTCTATAAATTTCGAAATTCATCTGGAGAATAAATACCGAGCACAAAAGTTCTATCTATTTTTTCGATGGTGGAGCAAGGAAAACTGACACGAAGCTACATATCTTTCTCATCAAATCGTGCCAGTAATTTTTTTTAAATGAGAAATTAAAAAAAAAACAGAATTTTTTCTCGTGGAACTTCTCTTCATTTCTGCAGTCACCTATGCTGAAACATAATTATTCTTTTTTGTGTCATTGCGTTTGTTACCGTCTTTCGTAGAAAATGAGACACATTTATACTTGGCATGGTTTTTCTATTATTTGGACCTGTGGAAAGATAGTTGTAGAGCGGGGAACGATCCTGTAAACATCGGTTCCACCAGTAGGTACGCTCTTCACAAAAAATGCACCTACCACCTATATTAAATGCATTATGAGCTGGACATTTTGACTGCACTATAAAAAGCTCTCTAACTGAATGAAAAACCAGTGCATGGCTAAGAATTGTACTATATTTATATAATATACTAAAGCCTTAATATTAGAGATTGGCAGCTCAAAATTTGAAGTTCATCAAAAAACTTTAACCGAATACTATTGGAAACTATTTAAAGGGGCAGTCGGAATATTCGGGTTTTTCCCCTTATGTAGGAGCAGTCTTGTTTGTTATCAATTAGGAGTCTTGAGAATAGATCTTGTTTGGTTAGGTTTCTGGTTTTATCATCGTGGACTAAAATTGTGTTTCAATTTCAATTGCAACAATTGGGCGATAAGAATTCTGAAAAAAGATTATAGAGAACTTTTATGTCAGTTCCAAAACAGCGCCGCTTAATAGCACTAAATTGTACGAATCAACTTCACTTGCGCCGTAATTGTTCCGACTTTCGATGCGAAAGTAACGGAATATTTGTGCTCGGGGTGGGTTTTTTTCTTCTTCAGACAAATTTCGACTTTTTAACTAGCCATTTTTGACGGAATTTTTTTTATATCATTCGAAAGCTATTGTTGTCCTGAGCCTAAATTTGAAAAGATATTTTACCTGTGATCATTTTTCGTAAAGTTATGAGGGTTTAAAGATTTGGTACAATTAACGCGCGATATAATTCGCGCTATTAACGCGTAAGCGGAGATTTAACCCAACTTATAAATCGTTCCAAATTGGTTGAACGAAGCTTATTTGCCATAATTGATTTATTACAAGGAACGAAATCTATCTACTTGTACTTTAAATGGCGTGTGGGGGGGGATGGTTTTCATAAAAAAGTTCAAATTTTGGAAAAAAAATCATTTTATTTCATTTCATTTAATTTTTTATGTTTTTACTGCTGCTCCATAAACCTTAAAAGGCAGTCGGAACATTCAGGGCTTCGCCCTGATACGAGCAGTCTTGTTTAGAACTTTATTAGTTGACGTTAGATGCTTTGTCACAGGGAACAAGCGACATGGCTTTAGCCGTGAAACACGGAACTGCAACTAGACGACCAGTTGTTCCATCAACTGGACCGACCGGAGGAACAACCGGGAGCCGAGGAACGCGACAAAAGAATCCCGGATCCGGAGCCGTAAAGTCATCCCAAATTGGTCAGGGGCCTTTTCCAGTCACGACAAATTTTTGTTAGGATAGATAAAACAGCTCCATTAACCAGCTCCATGTTAACCAGCTCAATACTATCTTAAGCAATTAAGTTATAACTAAAACTATATTCCTCACATGACTAACACGAACGTCCTATTAGAAAAAACTCGCTTAAATGACTGTTACTGAGTACTTAATTTTTATTCACGACTTTCAATTTAAAGCTTCAGTATCTTTCTTCTATCTTTTTAAAGAATACCAAATTTGAATTGAAACGCGGAAAAATGTATACTGGAAAAATGTCTGAAATTTAGACTTCAACTGGCTTCTTATCGATACTATTCTCCGTGGACTCCGAAACAGCTTCGGCTTTGTGAACACTTTGATCGTTCTGGTGTTGATGCTGCCATTTCAACAACCTCTGTGGAGGTTCAAAAAGTGGGCATCTAGACGAATGTCTCGTTTGGCCTTCTAATACGTAAAATGCTTATTTCCAGCATCCCATTCCACTTAAAAGTTTTTAAATCGAGTTTCTGAAGTGTTGTTTAAACTATAAGAAACCAGGCAGACAAAAAATTTTCATTCTGTGGTGATGGCCATTAAGGTTTATACAATAATCATTTCTTGAGGATTATGACCAGCAATTGTGTTGCATGGTAATCTAAATCTATGATTATATTATTATAAAATTATATGTTCTGCTTTCAATTGGCTTCAAGACTAAGAGCGCAGAATTTCGCAAAAGCAAATGATGAAAGAAAAAAAGGTTTTTCATTTTTTTCTGCGTATGACCTTGAAATAATTATATAGTTTTGTCGGAAATATTTTCGGCCAGTCATCACAAAAAATGGCGACTAAAATTGAAATGACGTTTTTCAAATTTTAGCTTAAATATATGCTGTAAATATCCCACAGCCACTTTACGTTCTTAGGTCAAACCGGGAAAGTATTCTAGATCTAAGATTTCTTACGAAGTTGCCTTTCAATGACATGCAATTTGGTGGGTGACGTTTAAAACCTTTCTACTGAATGTTTTCAAAACGTTTTTTTTTAAATGAAAGTTTACTCATTTTATCAACGTTTAGGTTATTGAAGTGAAATTTTTTGCAATAGGCAGCAAAAATGTGTCGAATTCTTATGATACAATTCATTGAGTTGGATTATTTTTTTCTCACGCACGTTTTCGCGTTTTAATGAATATTCATTGCTTTCTGTGCTATTTGGCCAAAAAATGATGAAAACAAAAAATTTTACCTGCTTTTCAACGGTGGAACCGGTTTTACAAGATTATGAAGCAAAGTTACACCCATAAAGCGGGTCAATTTATTTGTTTCAAAATTAAGGAGGCAAACAGGGCCATTGTAGTTATTCTTACAATTTTTGACTCTGCTTACTCTTACGTTCTTGATTTTGAACCACAAAAGCTGACCCATTTTAAGAGTGTTATCTTGCTTCATAACTTTGCAAAACCAGTTCCGCCTTGAGAAAGCTGGTAAAATTCCAAGCATTCTTTTTTTGGCCAAATAAAAAAACCAAATTTGAGAAAAACGAGTTTGAAAATTTTGTTTTAGATCATTCTATCCGAGTGTTTTACCTCAGCACTATAGAAGCTAGCTCAGCACAAAATACAGTGGAAAATCAGTAAAGCGCGAAAAAATGCCAGGCAAAAAAATTCCAACTCAATGAATTATATTATCAGAATTCGGCAAATTTTTGCTGCCCACTGCAAAAATTTTCACTTCAAAGCCCAATTTGAATTCAAGTCAACATCATACCAATATATTTTGAAAACACCCTGTAGAACAAGCACTTAACATATCTGAGCGGTAAGCGCAACAACAGAAGAAAACAATGTGTCAACATTTTTCAAAAATTGCAAAACAACATCTGACTTTTTCACAAAAATGTTTTAAAAAAGTCTTATGAGAGCTCTGGAAAATCAGGATTATTTCATCTCTAAAAATGCGAGTTGTGCGTTCTCAATGTAAAATGCCAAATTTTTTATTTTCAGTTTCTATCGTAATCTAGAAAAAGGAGGGTAGGCTGGAAATAAGCAATTTAAATTCTGCTGTTCTGGAAGAATGTTTCTCTCTCAACAAGGGCTCCACATTGATTAATCCTCTCCTCTGATCGATTCCTTTTGTTTGTAAAATCAACCTTTGTTCTATCCTACAGCAGCTCCCTTCATAAATTCAATTTTAAAAGAATAATTCTTTGTCAAAAGAACTTCGAACTGACTTTTCGGGAAAAAAAATCAGCAAAAATTGAACGTATTTTATTTTGTTTTTTGAATTATCGAGGGATCTATTTTCCGTGCCAAATTTTAGATCCTGAACTTTTCCACGGCATGTTCAATTGCTTACATACTGGCTAGTTTCTCAAAAATATCCTTCATATAAATTAAATCTGCTTGCAATAGTCGTTTTTTTGGTAAAAATCAGCTCTTAAATATATATTCAAGTTTTGATTGATATGCATCAAAGATTAGAAATCTATGTTTTTCGTGGAACATAATTGAATGTCGAACTTTGTTAGTATGGTGATTTGAAACACGCTGATAATTATTTGAGAGTCAGAATTTGTGGTTACCAGACGCCAAAAATTGTCCCTTCAACTTTGTTTTTGCATGTGGCGGAACTTTCACACAAAATGTTCAAGTCTTTTTTTCGACTTTTTTGCTCCGACTTTTGTAACAAAAGTAACGGAGTATTTGTGCTCGGGGTGGGTTTTTTCGTCAGACAAACTTCGACTTCTTAACTAGCCTTTTTGGCGGAATTTTCTTATATCATTCAAAAGGTATTGTTGTCCTGAGCTTAAATTTGGAAAGATATTTCACCTGTGATTATTTTGCGTAAATTTATGAGGGTTTAAAGATTGCCATTTTGGCCATTTTGACCAATTTGGGACATTTAACGCGCGATACGCTTTGCCCTGATACGAGCAGTCTTGTTGTTCCGACTTTCGATACGAAAGTAACGGAACATTTGTGCTCGGGGTGGGTTTTTTTTTCTTCATACAAATTTCGACTTTTTAACTAGCCATTTTTGACGTATTTTTTTTATCATTCGAAAGCCATTGTTGTCCTGAGCTTAAATTTGGAAAGATATTTCACCTGTGATTATTTTGCGTAAATTTATGAGGGTTTAAAGATTGCCATTTTGGCCATTTTGACCAATTTGGGACAATTAACGCGCGATATCATTCGCGCTATTAACGCGTAAGCGGAGACTTAATCCGTCTTATAAATCGTTCCAAATTGGTTGAACAAAGCTTATTTGCCATAATTGATTTGTTACAAGGAACAAAATCTATTTTTTTTGTGCTTTATATGGCGTGTGGGAGGATGATTTTGATAAAAAATTTCAAATTAAGAAAAAAAATTTTCATTTTATTTTATTTCATTAAATTTTTTATGCTATTACTGCTGCTCCATAAACCTTAAAAGGCAGTCGGAACATTCAGGGCTTCACCCTGATACGAGCAGTCTTGTTAAGTTTTGCATTCAATTATGTTTAAACACTCCAAATCGCCAATAACGGAACAATGGAGGCTTTATATTGGCACAAAAGAATGAAAATGTTACAGTTACGATGGAATCAGAGACGCAAGACCTTTAAGGCCAAGTTTACATCCTCCCCCTGAATACACTTCAGGGGATAGGATGTAAGCTTGGTTCTAAGTGGAATTTTTTGGTCAGTCATTTAGTGTATATTTATGTACCTCAATAGCTAACGTTAAAACATCTTGGTGGGTGTAGTGTGAAATATTTAACTTGACCGCTTTAGCGGAGAAGATGCTAATAAGTTAATGCAGTTCTTATGCTAAACAACTATGCTTAAAATTGACAGTTTTATACCAAACTGACAAAAAAAATGTGTCAGATGTTCAGTTTGAAGATAGATTATTTTCTCATTTTCTGCTCAAACTCTTTAATTCAATCTTAAATCTGGACTGCATTAGTTTTCAGAATTTCATGAACTTTTGCCCTCACTTTTTACATTGACCGGGGTTTCACAGTCACGGCTACCGCGAGCTAGCTCAGGTATTTCCAGACTGTCGCTACTCAAAATCGACCTTTCCAAAGTTCTAAAAATCGACGTTTCTTGAAAGCCTAAAAATAAATATTAAAACTCAAACCAGTTGGATTCTTTTTGTATATAAATAAGAAAATTGGCTATCTTATTTTTAGTAGTGTATTTTTTAGCATTTGTTTCACAGTGGAGTAGAGTTTTTGTTAATCGCCATGGATTGGTACATGGATCAATTCAAAACTAAAATTCGGGCTGTAAAGTCGGGAAATTTTTAATTAGTTGGTTTCTTAGTTCGTTTTGATGGAATATAATTTCATAAAAGATTGGTATATTAAAGTAGCGGCTGATAAGTATTGTCCATTAAATAGGTTTTCCGCCGCAAAAACGATAAAATATATATTTTTTTCTCAGAATTTTTTTTAAAAATGTGTATGTCCCTGAGTACAGAGTAATAAATTGTCTATCTAATGAAGAGTTGATAAAACAAAATAGCTGTCCTATCTAATAATTGCAATAAGTTCAGAGCCTGATTAAAGTGTCCTCTACGCATTATTAAAGAGTATGTGGCGCGTTAATTGATTCAAGTTTGCCTAATTGGCAATTTTCAAAACCCAACTCTACCAAATTTAGTCCCAGCGGTATTTTGTTTCAAATGAGCTATTGAGATTCCCGGCGTGAGATTCCGTGGATAATCATCAATTATAATGGAGTAATAGTCGATTACAAAGCTTACAAGACTGCTCGTATCAGGGCGAAGCCCTGAAGGTTCCGACTGCCTTTTAAAGTCTATGGAGCATTAAAAAGTTGCAAAATTTCAATGTAATAAAAAAATTTAAAAGCATCCCCCACACGTCATATTAAGTACAAAGTGATAGATTTTGCGGCTATTAACAAATCAAT